AGAAAGCAAGCTTAGTTATACATGGAAAATTTTTAAAGGAAAAATTCGGGATTTTTACCATTCGAGATTTTGGATTTTGAGATTTTATACAATTCAGGATTTTGGATTTCGAGATTTTGACCTTTCGAGATTTTGGATTTTGAGATTTTGGACGGCACTCTAGTATCCAAGCTCAACTATCAGAAAATAATAGTTTTTATAATCTAATCATAAATAAATTTTGTCCAATAGGGCCTATATTTTTAACGAATATGATTCCTGTCACTTTTTTCCTGTTTCAGCATATACCTGATACATGAATTACAGTAACATTAGCTGTTAATGATTTGCGCAGATTAAACTAATATGCTATTAATACGGATATTGCAGTCATATTAACATAATTTTCCTGAAAACGTATTCCAAAATCGATCCTGCGAATTATAAAACGGTGATGTCTCAGTTAAGTGAACCGCCTCATGTAAGCAAAATAAAAATCAACCAAATCAATCTAACTATCAATCTAACTTACCATTACAGGTATTATTCATATTATCAATATTTATAAACTTGTATATTCTGCAAAATAATAATAAGGTAGGGTTTGTTTATTATTCGACTAACTTCTTGAAACATTCCATCATAGTGTTTACTGAAAAATGATACTTAGTAAAAATAAAACGCGGAGGAATGTGACACCAGTAACAAATTATATCACATGAAATTTTGTGTCATTTTTTGAAGGTTATGCAGAAGTCATCAAAACAAGCATCTTTCGCATCTTTATACGACTGCCCTTTTGTTTTAAAGAGTTATTATGCCAAAGCTAAACAAGGTAAATGTATACTTTCAATTACTACGTCAAGCGATCTTACGGCTCCTACTCCCATATGCCCACCATATTTCTGTAGATCACATATGGCCGATGCTTAAAAAGATACCCATTGGTAATCTACCTGAATGTCTCAGCATTTGCTATACTCCTCCAGTGTATATCATACTAGTCAGTTCTTTACCAAAAAGCTGGACTCGATAATATCTTACACCAATATGCCCTCTATATATTGAGGACCACATATGGCTAATATTTGGAAAGACACTTATTAGCGATCTACCTGTATATTTTAGCACCTGCCGTATTTTTACAGTGTATACCACGTTAGTTAGTTCTTAACCAGAATATTACTTGTCAATATTCTATTACTAGACTAATCTTTCTTAAATATATACACTTGCACATTAATCTTTTTCTTTTTTTCCTGAACTTGAAGGTCATTTTTTTCTTCAAAGTAACACCATATAAAGAATCGTCGGTAACTTCCTGTCTCTAATACATATTAGAAAATGCTGTTACAAATTTTGAGGATAAAGAATCAATTCTTGAAAATGTGAAAGAAAGGTCCAGTCAATCAGCAATAAACAATATACACTGAGTCATGCACAAAACAAAGCTTCCTCCATCTGTTCTACCTTTGTCAAGACTACTGAAAGAAAAGAAGTTAAGGATTTGCTTGAGAGAATAGAAATGAAGGCAACTCATGATTTAAATGAAATCACATGCTAACAAGAGCACATAGAATTGAAAGTTTTTGATTCTTTCAGGCTGAGTATGAGTCAAAATTACTATAGAGAATTAATGAAGATTGAAAATTTAATGATAAATGGAAAGTTGTCCAAAATACAAGATTGACGAAAGAATTAATAAATATCTTGTAATTAAGATCTATCTTTAAGGTAACAACTGACCGAATATATAACTATATTGTAAGGAAATAAGTCAAATGGATAAACAGACCGTGAAGAGTTCTTTTGAAAATGATGAAAGAGTAACAAAACTGATAAGGTGATGATTATTATTGAATTTATCATACCTGGGCTAAAAATTCTGACTACCTTTTTTGTGATACAAATAGGATAGTAATGATAATCCTGATAAATAAGATAATCCTTTTTGGGTATCAGGTGAAAAATCATCCACTTCTTTTCTCAAGACTAGTTTTCTTCTTTTTTAGATATCGGGTGAAAAT